GCTGCTTACTGGGCCTGGAATGACACTCCTTTGTCAAAACTCAGCTCAAGGAGGCCGTCCTCCATGAAGCCTTCCTAACTCTCTGTGTCGCAATGGGTCCTCTTTGGACTTCTCCTATAGCAGTACTGCCCTTGACTGGTCTGGGAGGCTGCTGGGGGCAGGGCAGGCACCATGTCTTTTTCATCTTGGAATTCCCAGGGACTGGCATAGTGCTTGGTCCATGGCACTGAATAAATGAAGCATTTATGAGTGCAGTGACTCCTCCAGAGAGTGTGAGGCAACATTCTCGCGGCACACACCTCCAGCCCAGTGAGGTTTATTAGCATCATAAGCATGTGGCACTATTACTGGCAAGTTGACCTACCATCTTTCCCAGGGTACCAGAAGACTGTGATTTAGCGCTGCTTCACTTATTTTACATGGAAGAAAAAGAGGCCCTCCCAGCAGCTCTCAGAGGTGGGACCCTACGCTTCTCTGTCTCTACCACACAGCAAAAACCACCTCCCACCACATGGTGCATAGGAACCCTGGAGGAAGCTTACCTTGTGTCCCAGGAGCTCCTTTGGGCATGTGGGTTGGACCTGCAGGGAGCTTTCTTTTCCACAGCACTGAAACTAGAGTCAGAAAGGAGACGTTAGAACATGGAGAAGCAGCAGCTACAGGCTGGGCTGCACTGCCAAGGACCAGGGGAGCCGGCACAGCGAAGCAGCCATGAGGCCGTCACTGCTATTTCTGGAAAGAAAACGAAGGATCACATAATCATGCTAGCAAAACAAGAAAATGACTTCTCGAAAGCTGTCTGAGTTTTATGATAGGAAGTGACTCAAGGCAACCCAAACAAGGCAAGAAGCTAATTGACAGTGTCTGTAAATTGCTGCTTTTTAGACAGGAGTTGGGGCCTTGACAGTCCTTTCAGACTGGAAGTCATTTAATTTGCTGAAGCGCTCACATTTTATGAGCTTCCCCAAGGGCTCATTAGCTGGGACAGTCTGAGAAGGAGAGAAGCGGCCACAGTAAGCCCCAGGGGCCAAAGACCAGGGTTGAAGACTAGCCAGCAAACAGGTGTCCTGCCTTAGGGCTGCCCCTTCAACAAAGGAGCCTGTGTGTTGCTCGATGTCCTGGGGGCAGCTGAGGCCAAATCGTGTAAATGGTGAGCAATTTGAAGACGTTCTTGTCACAGAGAAAAGCCAGGTACCTAAGAACACTTGGCCCAGTTCATAGCTACTTCCTCATATCACCATGCCGAAGGAACTAGAACCATTCTGGTCAGCCCATCTCCTCTGTGAGCCTTCTTGCACCAGCCACATGCAGCTCTGAGCACGCCACTGACAGCACAGTCTTAAAGAATGTTCTAGAAAGGAGTGTGGCCATCTCCTCCTCATTTTAAAATGGGGAAGCTGAGTGCGCATCGGGAAGGCCACATAATTTGCTCAGCTCACAAAGTTGTTAAGTGGCAGAGCAGCAGCTAGAAATGAGCTTTTCTGACTTAAAGGTCAACTTGTTCCTGTTACCATGCCACGATGCCTCCCTCTGAGAGAACCTGAGGCTTTCTGGGCTGCTTTTCCTGTGTTCTTGTTCATGCTCTTTTGTCTCTTTTGGGCACGCATCCCGACTTTCTCTGTGAGCACTGTGTGCCAGGCCTCTTTCTCTTCTGGGTTCTACAGACAATGTGAACTATGGCTCTCATAAGAACTAAAAAAGGATGCTATTCCTAGGCCTTTCTAAATTTATTCTTATTTTCAATCTTGGTGAAGAGAAAACCTGGCTTATATATACTCCAAGGAAGAAGTGATTTGGGGCTAGCCTCAGAGCCTAGGGGTAGAGGGAAGCTGGATCCCACACAGCCAACCATGGTTCATGTTCCAGCTTTGGTGGCCTGAAAAACATGCAGCCCGTGTGTGCTTATATGTGTCCCAAATACTGATTAGACAGAGAAATGGAGGAAAAGGGATTCCAGCATGACTATACCGACTGGGGGTGCTTTCTCTCTCCCTTCTCCCTGTCTCTGTTTCTCTCTGGTGAGTGCATATATACTCTCTGTCCATTAAAAAAGAAAAGGTGTAATTTCAAGGATGAAGTAAAGTTACTCACTGTTGCATGGAAGGTAATGAGAGTCCCATTGCCCTTCGTCCTGTCTTTAAGATAATCATTATAAGCCTCTTCATACATGGTCTGAACGTGACGTATAGCCTGAAAAAAAAGTCCAGGAGAATTGAGGGGCCAGTGAGTGAGAAGTTTCAGATGTTCTCCTTTTAACATGAATAATTCCCTCTTCCAAACCCTTCAAAAATACTGCCTTTTTATATGTTTATCTGTATTTTATGACAATTCTGCATATGTAGAACAGATTGTAATTCTGGAGTTTCTAAGATGCTTTAAGAGAATGAAAGTCTAACTAACCAAGAATAGTTTTCATGGATGAGAAACATTTATTAGGGTGGGGGTTCAAAAACCTGATTGGGTTTCAGCATCAACTGGACCCCAGATGCCTAGGTTCTACTCAGGTGATTCTGATGGACGGCCAGGGCTGGGCCCCGTGCAGCCTTGGTAGCCCCACTGGTTAAATGGACCCAAGTCTTTTCATGACATGGTTTAAAAGGCATTCATCACTAAGGAAAACTTTTTGTATTCAAGTATCATATAAAGCTAAAAGAATGCTTTTTCTAGCATAAAGGTGTGTAACCCCAAATCCACAGAAATCTCAAAAGGTTCTAAGATCCAATTCCATTTCTATATGGAGCTGAATTTAAACTACCTACAAATACAACCAGCTACTTTAAAATAATTCAAAAGGAGGTTACCTTTACTGATTCTGCATGCTTACCATATTTTTAGTCTATTAATAAAATAAGTTCATAAACACAGCATCAATAAGTTAATGTAGGGGACCAGTAGGTGGCATGGTGGTTAAAGCGCTGGACACTCCCACATGGCCGACCATGGTTTGAATCCCAGACCTGGTAGCTTGCTTTCTCATTTACTCTCTCTCTCTCTGGTCAAATTAAAAAAAAAAAAAAATTAACGAATGAATAAATAAAATTAAATAATTCTAAAAAAACCCCAAGTTAATGTATAATACAGTAAAATTAACTTTCCATTTTTCTTCCTTTTCCTTTCCATTCCTACCTATTTCACATTGTATTTTATCCTCCTAAGAAGGCCACATCCTCGGGGTTCTCCTGATAACCTACTGAGTTACCTAGAGTCAGGCAGCAAACCTAAACTGGTTTCACTAACACACATTAGGTCAGACTTTAGTCTTTGAGGATGATGTGGCCTCTGCTCAGGCCAAGCCTTTAGGGCATAAGGCAGTGTGACAAGAAGAGTGTATATTCTTTCCCAGCCCTTTGTCTCAAGCCTATAAACTCGTTCTCCCCCCATTTCCAACTGAAGAAAATCTTAAGAGTCTTTTTTGTTTTTTAAATTATAGATCTCTTTATAAATCTAATGAAGGCAATGAACTATCCCCTTAGAAAAACGCATACACATAGATACATGTGCGTGCACACACACACACACACACGCACACACTGTTCTCCACACTGCTTTTAGCTTAAAAAGTTCAGCTTCAACTATAATTTGGGGGTTATATGGCTTCTTAATAATATTGTGGGTATTGATACTCTCAAATCCTGTGCCATAAAGAGAACAACTACCATCATTTAAAAAAATCATAGGTAATTTTGACTTACTACACTCTTGCCTATAAAAGCAAATACTCCAGTGGTTACTTCAGCAGCAAATATCACAAGTAGGCAGGTGAAAAACTGTGAAGGAGAGAAAACACTAATTTCATTAATTTAATACCTTTTCAATTTATTTGCCTCTTTGACTCTAGTTCCAATTGAAAAGCATTAGGTTGGTCTGAATGGATCCAACAGGAAGCATCTACCTCGTTAGTCTCCTTTATGGAATGAATGTGTTACTTGAACGTATCAATAGTGTGCCCATGCATTTTTCATCTACCCAGAAATTATCTACCGACCGACTTTTCCATGCTAGGTTCTGATTTTGGTGTTGAGGAGACAGTGGCAAATTTACAAAGTGAGACCCCAGGATGGGGGGAGTTATGATAAATGAGTAAACAAATGTGCGAGATAATTTCAGATGGAGATACAGAAATCCCATCACCTAGAACAGTGCCTGGCACCTGTGAGCTCAATGAATACTTGATGAACATAAGCAGTTTGATGACACTATAAAATAAGGTCAGGAGATAGACAGGCATGATGAGGCTTTGGCTGGGAAAGGGTGTGCCTTGAGACTCCTAATCCAGAGAGGCTTCACTGAAGAGGTGGGAGTTGGAGGTGAGGCTGTCCTCTAGACAGCTTTCTGTTCAGATCTCGGGTTTGCTCTGATCAAACTCAGTTCAGTGATAAATAAGACAGAGGGGCTCAGCACAGGGGAAAGAGAGAAAGACCGGGTGGCTAAAGAGAGATGTTCAAAACCTTCTCTCTTTCCTTCCATCTTCCTGTTTCTCTTAAGCTATACTAGCACTGGGTGTATAGTAGTTAACTGAAATTTTATTTATTTATTTATTTATTTATTTATTTATTTATTTATTTATTTATTTATTTATTTATTTATTTATTTATTTATTTATTTATTTATTTATTTATTTATTTATTTATTTATTTATTTATTTATTTATTTATTCATTCATTTAGATCAACAGAGACTGTTAAAACTCACAAGAGGGCTATTTGGCTAAGTTTCTGAACTCAAATGGGAACGCCTGTCTTGTGGATAACAGCATTTCCCCGGCTCTAGGCATCTTTCCCTGTCTCCCCCTCTGTGAACTATTATTTTTGAAAGAACAATCATAATCACCTCACACAATTACTAGGCACTTTTCCTTCCCAAACATCTTTACACTAATGACCTTGTTTTTTCACACTTCCCATCTGAGGCAGGGACAATGATAATATTATTCTTATGCAAGGGATGGGGAAATGAGACTCAGGGAGAGCGCTTGAGTGCCAAGGGCACAGTGAGTCCATGCGGAGAGGAGCAGAGCCCAGGCCAGACAGCAGGCGCCCTCAGTCCAGCCCCCGCCCCCCGCCCCACTCCCTGTGCCCCACTTACTGATCCGAGCACACACTGCGACTCCCGCATGGCCCCACAGCACCCGAAGAAGCCCACGGCCATCATCAGGGCCCCTGCTCCAACCAGCACGTAGAGCCCTGCAGGAAGAGTCCAGAGGAGACCACTCAGCCGCTGAGCAATGTGTCGCTCCCTCTCCCCAAGGACCTGCGCCTGCCCAGTGCACCTCCAGGACCAGTGGGCACTGCATGGCCCTGTGCTGGGAATCATGTAACGGGCAGAAGCACTTGGATGCGTGCTGAGAGCCCGCTCATCACTGCGGCTCCCTCCG